AATTGATAAATGAACCTACAAGAGTCACAAAAGACAACGCAACTTTGATTGATCACTTTTATACAACAAAACCAGACTTAATAATTTCTAGTGGGGTAAGAATTATCACTATTAGTGACCACTACTTAATTTACGGTATTCGTAAATTTTATACAACCAAGGGAGCCCCGGAAGTTGTAGAATATCGGGATTTCAAGCACTTTAATGAAAACAATTTTCTTTTTGAATTGGAATCATTATCAAGCCTAAAGTTAGACCATTTAGATCCCAACATTTCTTGGTTAACTTGGAAAAATAAATTTCTTCATATTGTCAATAAACATGCACCCTTAAAAAAACGTGTCTAAGAAACGTGTACCTTGGTTAACCCGTGAGTTAAAATATTATAAACGCCAAAAAGCATATCTTAAACGAAAGGCAACTTTATCTAACTTAGACGGCGACTGGGCAGCCTATAAATCATTGAAGAATCATTATAATAGATTGATTAAAAGTACAATGCGTCAACACTATCAAGAAAAGATACATAATAATTCAGGTGATATTAAGAAAACATGGAAAATAATCAATGAGGTGATTAACAAGTCAAAAAAAGCCAATAAAGTACTACAGCTTAAAAATGAAAATAACGAAATTATTGAACAAGCGGATATCCCAAATCAGTTTAACAAATATTTCATTGAATTAGGGGATAATTTATCTAATGATATACCCTTATCAACGTCAACTCCCGACAGATATTTTACCAATTTTCAATGTCCAACTGACACTTTATCGCACTTTAAAGAGGTATCAGAGACTGTAATATTGAGATTGCTTTCTAACTTAACTATATCCAAGGCATCCGGTCTGGATCAAATTTCGGCTAAAGTTTTAAAAATTGCAGCACCATCTATTGCTCCATCACTTACTTTAATTTTTAATCAATCAATCCGCACTGGCATATTTCCATCTGACTGGAAAGTTGCGAGGGTTACACCAATTTATAAATCTGGGGAAAAATTTTGCATGTCCAATTATAGACCTATATCCGTTATTTCAATTGTTGCAAGAATCATGGAAAAGCTAATACACAACCAGATCTATGAATATTTGATTAAGGAAAATCTACTAGCAAATTCCCAACACGACTTTAGGCCGAACCATTCAACTCTAACTGTGTTGCTCGATATCACAAATAGATGGTATCAGAATATGGACATTGGCCAACTTAATGGTGTGATATTTCTTGATTTAAAAAAAGAATTCGATACTGTTAATTACGACATCCTTCTTAGTAAGTTGGCAATTTATGGCATAAGGGGGTCGGCATTACGCTGGCTCAACTCCTATTTAACAGGTCGAATACAATATTGCCAAGTGAATGCCCATTTATCTGATCCTCTATATGTGACAACGGGTATACCACAAGGTTCGGCTCTTGGTCCACTCTTGTTCCTAATTTACATAAATGACCTACCTAATTGTCTGGAACACACTAAAGTCAATAAATTATGTTTGCCGACGATACCCAAATTGAAACGGCAGGTTATGATGTTAATACAATTGCTGAGGAACTTAATCAAGATCTAGAAAACGTTTCAGTTTGGTTGTCGGCAAATAAACTAACTTTAAACAAAACGAAGACAGAATACATGATAATAGGTAGTAATAGAAGAGTCAATCATATTAACATAACGCCTAATATATTCATAAAAGACAGAGAAATTAATAGAGTCAAAACGACCAAATCACTCGGCTTAATGATTGACGAAACACTCTCATGGAATGCTCAAGTTGATCAAATTACAAAAAAGGTTAATTCAGGTCTCAGTATCCTTAAAAGATTGAGAGACATTCTAGATTACCAAACACTGATCAAAATTTATTTATCAATAATTCAACCACATTTCGACTATTGCTCACAGATTTGGGGTTGTCTGGGTAAAGTACTATCTGATAAACTCCAGAAGCTTCAAAATAGAGCATCTCGAATAATAACTCGTGAAAACTATGATACACGTACAATCGATGTTTTGAACAAGGTCGGTTTTCCAAATCTCGTGACTAGAAGAAAACATCATTTAGCCGTCCTAATGTTCAAAGCCAAACATAACATGTTACCAAATTGCTTAACGGAACTTCTCATCACCTCAAATGAAATACATAATTACAATACAAGACAGAGCGAATTCAATTTTGCATTACCTAAACCTAAAACTAATTTTATGAAAAAGTCTTTCGCCTATCGAGGAGCTGAGACTTGGAATAATCTGTCTGCTGACAAAAAAGCTAAAACAAGTATCTCTACATTTAAAAATAGTCTAACTGTAAGTGTGTAATTTGTGTGTAATTTAGTTATTATTATTAGATACTGTAGTATATGTGTAATTAGTATAGCTATATACGGCCTATTGGAAGATCACCCGTCTTAATTTTTATAAATATCTTGGTGAAATAGTACCGTTTTTAATAAAGTCAAAGTCAAATTACTATGATAATTTATTTCCAATCCAACTAATCATATTCCCTGAAATTTGTGTGTGTGATGCAGTGTGAGTAGTAAGTAATATACTTTTAATATTACTGTTGTAGTTCCTTACTCTGTGATTGTAGTTCATAGCTAGACTAGCTCAAGAATTCAAACTTTTCAAAAATTGCCATTTTAAATAAGGCCAATGAAAATTGATATCATGTTTCTCGTCCACAATTTTCAAAAATTTGGAGCGGGATTTTTTCATTTTTCATTTTTCATTATTTTTTGTATTTGAATTCTGCTTCATAAAAATCTGAAGTAAATCAGTTTATAATTCATTTAGGTCCTACACTACAGTATATTTCTACACATAAAATCGAACAAAAATATCCTTTATTTCAATACAGTACAAACATATATGTATTAATACAAATACATTAACGTTTTCTTCATGCAATTTTATTCCTTCCTTTATTAATGCATTCCTGGCACTGTGGATAAAAAACATTATCTTCAATTTCAACTAGGTTAGAGTCCTTTGAGCAATAAATACAAATATCCTCATAATCACAAGAGTAGTAGAGCTTCTCGATCTTGTCATAGCACGTATGGTCTCTGATGAACACGGTGGGAAAGTTTTCTGGCCATTCAAATTCCTCTGAAAAACAATACACTAGAATGTACTTTGTTCATTCCTAAATATTGATATATAAATATGCATTAAATATATTAACTACATGTAGCCGTAGTTGTAAGATTTTCAAATTGAAATTTCATGCAACCTTCACTCTGACCAAAATTGTAGAACAATATCTAACAGTTCAACTCACCTAATGTTGCACCGCAGGTGTACTCCACATCATCTCCAAGCACATTCGTCAATTGTGTCTTCTGAGCTGGTTTCAACTTGTTCTTTGTAAACAGTAACCTCCACATCTCACACTCTGTACATTGAAGCATCATGTCTATGTTCTTTACATGCTGCATACTTGGCGAGAACCAAGGGCGGATCTAGGGGTCGTCAAACCAGTCACGCGACTAACGTAAAAATTGCAAACTTAATAAAGTCTTAAATATTCGACCAATAATCCAGTTATTTTTTATCATGCAACAACACCTTATAATAGTCCAGTATCTATTATCATGCAGCGCTATCAATTAACATTCCAATCGAACTGTAGTACAGTGATCAAATTTCATACAGTGGCTGAGCCGACGAGCTTAGTCAAGTCAATGAGCAGCTGACATACGCAAAGTCGGTCAGTCAAAAAGTCAAAATCCAGTGTTCTGATTGGTCTAGACGCTTATTGCCATGGGAACAAGCGATTTTTTGCGATTTTGACTGATCTGTGGGGAGTTCTGACTGATTTACAAAAGTCAGGGGCGTTCCATTAGTCGGAATATCATTAATATTTGACGCGTGGTAAAGTCTATCCGAGCGCGCGCTCATTCGAAGTGTCATGTTGGAGCTTTGTCGAAAGATTCAATTTAAAGATATCTACGGAAAATTCGGAAGTGTCTGCTCCTCCAGTCGTTGTAGTATTCACGATACAGTTCAATCCGCATTTGCGGTGAGTGATTTAGCTCTCTTACAAGACTGTTGCGCTGATCTTGGGAGGAAAATCGACGCTAAATATCGGAGAGTTCGATTCAGTGAGCAGTTGCTAGGCTCCACGAGTAGCACGAACTACAGTTTGACTGTTTGAGTAGAAGTATTGGCGCCGAGATCTTTATTCTGAAGTGCAATAAGGTAAATTTAATATGATATGTAAATTTTATTTCGTTTTAGACAGCATAACAATATTTATAAGCGAACAAGATGCGCGCCATGCATGTGTAAAATTGTAAATACGCCGATACGCGTATCTTGATGCCCTTGATTTAGGTTTAGCTATGAATTCTGCGGTTGAAGGACCGTCAGATCTCAGAAGGCTATTAATATGGCGGATAACCTATATAAATGCATTAAATTAATCATGAATTAATGCAGTATATACATAGGATATAAAGGTCAGGTTTTATAGATAATCACTAGAGTGTCATATTATTCAAATAAACATATATTGCTATATGTTTATTTGAGTAATATGACACTGTAGTGATTACTAGTCAACTGATCAATGACTCAACAAGGCTATTAGGCAACAAAAATGAGTGTAGTACTATCATGAGATAGTTAAACATAATACTAGCAATCCGCGTTAATTTGATAAAATGAAGCATATTCCACAATTATCACATTTCTGCAAGTACTTCTCCTTTACTTTTCCCTAAGGAGCGAGTTGTGAGAGTCAGTCAGACTGATAGTTGCTATAATTATCTCCCATTTCATGAAGTTAATTTTTTGTTGAAGCTGCTTTCAGAGTGATGCAAATTGCGTTTCGGAGGTTTAAAAATATAAACATTCCTGGGGGACAGACCCCCCTTGGTGCCTCGCGCATTCGCCGCTCACAAAACTACATTGTACATCCGAAAACTTTGACTAACATACGAAAAATCCTGGATCCGCCCCTGGCGAGAACGGCAGTTTCTTTTTCTTCGTTTGGAATGAGGGCCTAAATTGCTCACTCATTTGGGTCCGATATACATTTGAAAAATCTTGATAATGATTTTCTTCCCCAGGTGTTGGATCAGGCAGAAATGCCACAGATTGAAACAGATCAGCATTCATTCTCACTGGCCTAAAAAATAGAAAATCTTTTCGAAATTCTCTGCGAAAAACGTAGAAAAGATTGTTTGAAACCATACTGTGAAACTATAAAGGGCCTGTTCATATGATCCCACTTTATACCGGGACAAAATTATAGCCATGTTACTTTTGATGTATTGAATATCAGCCAGAACGTATTGCCGAAGAGCCAAGCAATGTTTATAGGAGAAACTAAGATGCTGTTCATCAGATTTAAAAATTCCTTTCTTTTCAGAATTCGGTTGTAGCTATATGCCTTGTAAATTAACACTGACCGTAACTTCCTTTATTACTGTACATCAAAAGTAACCCGGCTAGAATTTCATCCCAGTAAGCGGGATCATATGAACAGGCCCTAATTCACATGAACAAATTTCTCACTTGCAGATTTTGCAATTAGGTTTTCCACATTTCTTAATTTGAAATGTGTAATGCCCAGTCTGGCAACAATGTTCCATGAATGCTAACAGGTCAGTCTTCTTTTCAACATCTTTCTTTGTGGTGTCTGACATCTGAAACCACAATCAAATATAGATATTGATGCCTGAGCTCTGGCTGTTCACTGAAAAGCATAGTGTATATCAATGTCCCATGTTAAAAAACAGCTATTAAGTGAAACATTTTTGGTGTATATGATTTTACACTTTCTGGGCAGGTTAAGTATTTTGAGAGCACTGAGTGTAACTATATTTGTTGAATGTTTTGCTGTGATATTCAATGGGTACCTGTAGTGATTTCTCAATTCCGAGCAAAACTGACCAGAGTTCATGGATGGCATCATCACTTGCAGGTTTAAACACTTTAAAAGACTGTTTTTTCAATTGTAAGCGATGCATAATACCCGATAAAACCTCCAAACATGGATGCATAGATTCGGTGAGCTTGGTTTTTAGAACATCAGTGTCAATAGCGTTCCTCAAACTTGCTAAGTTATTGCAGTTCTCTAAAAAGTAAAAGTTCTCTAAAAGATATTCCACTCTTTTCATTTTGTTAATACAGTGCCCCATACTTTCCTGGGGCTATTAGAAAATAAGACCTGTGGATAACAAAAAAATGTATATTAGCATGAACTATTAAATAACCAAGTATAATAAATTTAACATACTGATGTTTGCTTCAAAATCCACAGATTCCTTCTGGCGCATCATACCAACACACTGTAATCCCAAGTTGACAATGCTCATGACTCTCTCTACCGGGTTAGCCCATGAGTGGCAGGGAGCAGTACGAGCTGCGATCAAAACATCTAGGTCTAACTGCAAAAACAGGGCAATCAGAGACAACTGGACACTCAAGTAAGTTAGGCGATGATCTGGGCTGCCATCTGTGTAAATCAGCAACATAGGTTTTGTTTCTAAAATGGAAATATAAGAAATACATTCATGTATACTGTAAGAGTAAACATACATATGTTGTCTCTCCATCAATATGGAAATTGAAATATGCACTATTAAAACAAAATAATATACATGCCTTGGTCATTCAGCAGCTCCTTCAACTCTGTGGCATGTCTTAATGGACTAGAAGGCTGGAATACAGCTTCTTTAAAACCAATGTTAACTTGTCCGGTATAGAATGACTTGTCAATGGTCGAGGGGATTTGAATCTAAAATAACCAATTAAGTCATATATTAATTAACTTACAAGTTAAAACCATTTATATATAACTCCTGAAATTGAAAATATATTACAGGGCTTTCCTCTTAACAAATAGAGTATTCTGGTTGTTAGCAATTAACTGTTAATTATTCTATGCTTTGGTATTTGCAAAAAATTCTTTACCCCAAGGCCCTGCAAGACACATGGACAACATGCACTTCTTACATATATTTTACCTGAAAAATTACACTTGGTACAATTGAGAAGCGTGTGAAGTCATGATCACCAACTGCAAAGGTTTCGTTAGGACCAACCAGAACTTGTTTTCCTCTTTCAGCTGCCGCAACTGGAAACCCTGGTTCGCCAACGCTAATTCGATGCTTGTCATCCAGACTAATAAGATGACATTTTTCGCGATATAAGACAGCATACTCCCGCATATAGCACCATATTGCAGCACAGTAATGTTCGTCAGGGTGAGCTTTTCTGAACTGCCTCTTCTGAATCATCATCTTAATTTTCATCTTACATTTGTAATACTTCCCAGCATTATTTGTGCGCGGATGACGTGGTTGGAATTGATATTTTGACCACTGTATAGAAGGAATGGCAGTACCCTCAGGAACCAATTTGGCAACTTGACTATGCAGATCACAGAATGATATAGCTTTTGCAAGGTAGGTTATATCTGTGTGCCTTCGTTCTTGAACTGCGGTTTTGTCAGCAAGATAGGTTTCCACTCCTTTGAAGAACACTTCAAATTTGTTACTGGTGTTTTCATTAAAATGTCTCAAATCAGCAACAATTTTGTCATCTTCTGAGAGGATAGCTGTTTTAACTCTTTCATCAATCTGTGCTTCACTGAGGTATTCTGAAGCAGATTTATCCCCTGTCAATTGCTTAAACATCTCTCTAAGGATGTGTGATGGAGTGCCGCTAAACTTGCCAAAGGTTTCACAGAATTCCCTCCTTGCAAATCTGGTCTGGTACGTTGGTATGTCCTTCTCAATGTCTCTAACAACTTGCATGTTTCTATTGGCTAAGTCTTCAGCAGAGCAATGGTTTGGCACTTTCCACACAAAGTTGGAATTTCCAATATTACCCCCAGTACTGTACTGATAAAGGACAATGTTAGCATTTGATGACAGTCCTTTCTTAAGCTGCTGAGTGAAGAGATATCTTTTCCTTCGGTCAGGGGGGCAGAATTCACTTACAACTACGGGCACAAAATCTTCAGACTGCTCAACTGCACTTCCAAGTTTTGACAAACTTTCATCTACATACATAGGCTTGTTGAGAAAGTGGATTGACTCTGAGGATGATAGTGATCTTACTGGAGTTGAGGAAAAATGACGCTTAATCATGGCTTTGTTCTTCTCGTCAAGGTATGCTGCATATCCAGACAATATGCTTCCTAGTTGGGCAACAGCACTCTAAAAATTGTTAACAGAAAAAAATAAATACTTGAGCTATTCTGAGCGAGGCAAAAGAGTATTTCTGCTTGATTGCAAGTGTCAATATAGGAATTTTTCTACACTTGTTTTGGATAGTTGTTTCGGATTGCAATGGAAGTGTTGATAAAATATTACATCGATTTGTTACATATAGTTCATCAATCCATTTGCTCAAAAATTTCTCAACTTTCTGTTTGCTGGCAAACTTGTTCACAAATCAATCGGTCACTAAAATTAAATGCCATTGGCCGATTTACACACACAGGAAGTTGATCAATTTTTCAACAGTGAAAATACATGGAACCAGTTTATAGGCTGAGACTGTAATATACTCCCCCTGTTCAATGTTGTTGTATTAAATAGACTAAAAGTGAAATTTTATAGTTTTAAGTAGTTTTGTGTTGTATTGCGTTGCTGATAACTCTCCAAGAACACACAGCAACATTGAGATGGGGAGGGGGGTTTTACATGTTATTTTTGCCATTGTTTACAAAAATATCCTTCCAAATATAAAAGTGTCCCACCTTCCAAATATAAAAGTGTCCCACCGTTGTCCGTGATTGTAGCTATAAATGAATTGATGCAATATTTTATCAACACTTCCATTGCAATGACAATAAAAATATCTCGATTTCTCTCCATGCTGGTTGATCCATCCATGTAGAACCCAAAAAACCCTGCAGCGTACATACATGGGACTTCAGGATATCCAACTTTAAATTATCGATTGTTCGTTTTCTGTGCTTGTTCAATTCAGGACGGTTGTACCCACTAAACGCAGAAAACAATTCCGGTATTTTCTTGTTACGGCTTTGCAGCGTCATGTGATGTCCATCAATATACCACAGTATTTTGGCCAGTTTAGACACAAAACTGAAATGTCGGGTGGAGTCCCATCCTAGATTTTTACTCTTCAACAATTCAATGATGGCATTGTTGAGTTTGTCCATCTGATTCTTTGGTTCGACTTGGTCTGGCAAGTTGTTTCGCTCCCTTGACTGAACCTTCCTCGCAGCTTGCATCATCATTTCAAACGCATTGTTTACAACAACATTTCTCTGGGTTGCGTTAGACAAGCAAATACAGTCCTCAGGATGTTCAATTTTAATTGAAAACTGAACAAAATTGCCAAACATACTGCAAGTTTTGTTAGCCACCAACATTGGGCTGCATGCCATCAAATTCTCCGGGTTTTTCCCCACAGAAACTTTGTCGATACTCACGTCGAAGGGTTCAACCAGCTCACAGATATTCAACCAGGGCCATGGCCCAACTCCATCGATGCGGCCAGCTTTCAAGTCATCGAAGATTTGACTAAATGTCAACCCGATATTGCCTTCATCTGCTTCTACAATAGTCCATCTGACTAAAACTTTGCTTTGGTGGGTCACATGCACAGAAATTAGCATTATAAATCATGAAAATGCATGTAAGATTTGAATATCTATTTTCAAAAAGCAGCAAAACACGCGAACAGATTCTTTCGCAACACAGGAAATCGGAAGCAAACCGGAAGAGAATGATCATGTGTCAAGATCATCCTCGTTCCCAGGGCTGACATGAAAAATAGAGGCATTCTGGCGAGTAATATCTTTAGAAAGATACAATTTGATTTGTGCTTGCGGAATGCAGCAATAAGACTTTGATCTGGAGATCAATTGGTGTTTTGTTAAGCCTATTTTTCAAAAATAATGAATGAAAAATTTTCGTGCGGCAGATAAATCCCATGCGGGCGGGGACGAGAAACATGATATCAAATTTCATTGGCCTAACTTTTGGAGTAAATAAAACAGAATTTACACTGGCAACGTCAGTTTGGTTACTTTGGTACATTAGTATGATACAATTCGCTAGAACAATAACAATGTCATAACATACTCGCAACACTGAGTCACTGACATGCACTGTCTGTTTATATGTCAGAATGGTCTAACTAGTAGACTCAAAAATACAATCATTCGAGCAATAATTTACATATTAATACTGAATGGCAACTCAAAAAATTTTATATCAAAAGGAAGACAATACCATCTTTATAGGTCTAAACATTACAGTAATATTCAAAAGCAAACAAAATATGACCAGCTATGAGCAAATATACAGTATGTTTGAAAATTGCAACTGCTGAACAGCAACGTTTACAGATTTTACAATAACAAATATATTTTCTGTGTTGGTGTTATATGTACTCAGGTGAAATTATGTTTGTGGTGTTACCCTGAGGGTATATCCACACTAGGCAAGCTTGACAAATATGCCTGGCCACAGTGAGAATCGAACCGACGACTTTTGGAATACTAGCCCGATGCTCTGCCAACTGAGATACACAGTCAGGTTTGTCTGAGTATGTGATATTTCAGAACTGAGTCTAGTTCCTTCGATATCAATGTAATCCAGTAATCATGATTTTCTGTGTTGGTGTTAATTGCACTCAGGTGAATCTAATGTTTGTTATGTTGCCCTGAGTGTATATCCACACTGGGCAGGCTTGACAAATATGCCTGGCCACAGTGAGAATCAAACCTACGACCTTTGGAATACTAGCCCAATGCTCTGCCAACTGAGCTATGCAGTCAGGTCGGTTCGAGTATGTGATACTTCGGAACTGAGTCTTGTTCCTTCGATACCAAGGTAATCCAGTAGTCATGATTTTCTGTTTGGTGCCACCGGTATGTGGCCAGGCATATTTCTCAAGCTTGCCTGGTGGATATACACTCAGGGTAACATCACAAACATCATATTCACCATGGTCATGATTACTGGATTACATTGATATCAAAGGAACTAGACTCAGTTTCAAAATATCACATACTCAAACCGACCTGGCCAACCAGCTCAGTTGGCAGAGCATTGGGCTAGTATTCCAAAGGCCATAGGTTAGATTTCCACCATGACCAGGCATATTTCTCATTCAAATGGTAAAGGGGAAAATTTATACTAGAAAGTAATAGATGGGATTTATTTTCAAAATTTGGTGTAACACTGTTGCCAGTTGTCAAGTAAATCTTGAATGTTTTTTAGCTTATTGGTTAAAACTATTGGTCAATAATACTGGCATGGAATAGCATAATAGTAGTGGCAATGATAAATAATTACTGTACTGTAGATGATTTAGATCATACTTGTATGTAGAGATACAGGCTGAATTTAGTTTATTTTCCCCTTCAATTAAGACGTTGGCAACAGGTTGAGAAAAGGATTTGCAAATGTCTGATGTAAACTCAATGAAGGCTGGCGACTTCGCATCATGGACAAATATTTTCAGCCTAGCCGATCGGGCACCCTGGTTGAGTCAAGTGAGAGACCAGGCTAGCAGTTATAAAACTGGCTAGCCCAGTAATGGTTGAAAATTTGGCCAACATTGGCAGATTCGTGTTCGTTGTAAAACTCCATCAGGAATTAATTTGTGACCTCGATTCCAAACTAATATTAACCATATACAATAGCTTTATGTTTCTTTGTGCTATATATTATAAAATATAAAAAAATTTCTGTATTGGTATACAGTTATATCAACACTTGTGGAAATTGGGGAAACTCGAAATTGTGTGAAAACACTCCACCACTGAGCTATACTATATTACTGGAGGAGGTGCTCCTATCTCTCTTCAGTCAAACAAGTGTCGCCAAAAACATGGTGGATTTCGGCCTTTGCTGATGCCAGAATGACGTCACTGGTCCCAAATCCTCGTGGTAATTACCACTGAACAAGGCTCATTTTGAGCCCGCTACCACTTTTACATTCCCCTGATATTCACAAAAAAATTTCAGCTTTTTGTTTTGAAGTTTGCCTCGCTAGTGTAAGACATGGAACGAATATTCAAACCTCAAGAAATTTTGGAAAGACATTTATATTTGAAAAGGTAAAAATATACTGTTTTTATGTTCAATGTTATTAAATTTGTGAAAGAGTAGGTCAAAACAAAGCGAAATAAACAGCCTATTTGTACTGTGTAGTAGACAATTTTAGCAACTGATGTATACAATTAGGTTGCCCAAACATATTCATACGAGAAACAGTCTTCCTCGAAAGAAAATGGTTGAAATTTCAGATTTTAGTTTAATTTGTTATTTCAAATTTTACGATATAAAATGCCAGTTGACCACCGTCTGCTTCATGATAGTACTTAGTAAAATGAAATTGCTTTCTATTATATTAGTATACCTATAGAGGAAGACCTTTTTAAGCCAGAACTATCATGACTTTGAATGTTTTAATCCATGTAACTGGCCACTGATGGCAATGAAATTATAATGTGTAGAATTATCAAGTCTATCCAGATCCAAAAACTGGCAGTTCAATTCTACCAACTTCTGTTGAAGCTAGTTTCCTATATAAGATCAGGTTAAGGGGCTGTTCAGTAGGGCTAATTTTCACCGCTTGTTTATATGAGGAAAATCAGCCCTACTGGTAGGGATAGCTTCCTTTCACAAGTAGCACTTAAATGGCTTCCGTGCAACTCATTATTTTTATTTTGGTGTCCAAAATCATAGTTTGCCGACTAAATTTTGGAATAAAAGCCAACAGATATTTGAATATCTGTTTAGAACTACATCCTAAAGAGTTTAGTCTAAAATCTACTGCGTTTATATGAGAAAATTCCAGCCCTACTAGGCGAGATCTCGGGTGAATAATAGTGAGATCTTGCCTAGGGGGGCTGGCTCTCTTCTCATGTAAACATAAACAATTTTTAATAAGGATTTTAAATAGCACGCAGGATCTCGCCTAGTAGGGCCAGCCCTCCCTGTAGGGCTCATGTAAACAGCCCCTTAGGTCGCGGTCACACTTGTGCTTGGAGATTACCACCGGATTAGCGTGCTTTCTTGAACACATACCAAGCTCATGCTAGAATGCAAGCCAAGCACGTCGCGGTCACACTCAAGAAAGCAACGTTTGCTTGCTTGCTGTTGTTGACAGATAAAAATAAAAACCTATCTAATAATCTAAAGTCCATTACATTAAAGGCAACGAATATACATTATTCTTGTGATTTCGTAGGCCTAACAAAGTTTAGACGTTAGAGCATAAGAGAAATGTGTCTTTGTCCTTAGTTCAGGTGCAAATCGCTTGCCCGATCGTTATTCATGATCATATTATATGAATTAAATAGGGATGTTAACAATTACTTTGAAATTTTGAATTTGGTTTCTGCTTCAGGTTTCCATACAGAAATACCGTTTATTGATTCAACTTTTTACTGCTTAGCGCGTTGTTGTGCAAGCAAAATAGTTCGAATCTACTGCGTTCTGTCTCAATTCAAATTAAAAATGACATGTTGAAATTACTTGTCTATTTGCCTTCTAAAACTCAACATTTTATTGGCTGAACTATTTAATCCACTTGAGATCCACATTCTAGCACGATTCAAACATACCCTGTAGTGTGTTTGGATCGTGCTTCGGTACCGGCCTTTGAAATTTCAAGCAAATCGTGTCAGATTTCAAGCTTCATGCTTGCATTTCATGCTTGCATTTTGTGTTTTGCGCGGTCACACTAGCAAGCGCGCTTGGAAGGTGATGTGTTGAGCGATTCAAGTGGATTTAGTTCAAGCAAGCACGATTCTAGCGCTAGTGTGACCGCGACCTTAGAGGCCTGTAGTATTTTATCATTATTAGCAATTTCATAATTAACCCATTGAGCCACAATGCGCCAGTGTGCCCTAATTTTTACTTGTCACTGGGGAAGCTCTGCAGCTTAATGGGTAAAGAAAATTAATCATTCTTGATGATATTTGATGTTGGTAATTCATGCTTTTTGGAGGAAATATTTTACACAGTGGTTGTTCACAGTGACACCAAAACCCAATATTTACATGCTATTTGTCGGAACTATTTTCCTCATTCTTTCATCATGCTAAAATGATACAAAATAAATTTTGGTTGGATTCAAGCAAGTCCTTGGGCCCAGTTGTCAAGACTATCACCTTGTTAGCAGCATATAGCTGCTTAAGCCCTGGGTTCAAATGAGTGGAATTTCAAGAGCATTCTACCCGGTTTTGTGCACACAAGTGGCCTTACCCATTAGGATGAGGGCCAGTTGGTTAGGTTGGGTGTAGGCAAGGTTCATGTAAATTTATTGTTAGCAAGAATGTTATGTGTACACAATCATGTGTAATATTGTGTTTGATTTGTAGCAGTTGAATGCCGGGACTCTGGGAGTGTCAAACAATAACCACAACAATTATTTTAGTGTAGCACTAATTTCTCACATGTTTTTTTCAGAAATAAAGTGCCATTGAGAAACTTGTTGGGAAAGAGGAGTCACAAACTGTTGATGAATACATTTAATTAACTACATCCAGCCATCCACATAAAATACAATTTTATTAACAGTATATTGATTTATGGTCACAGTTATTAGAATACATTATTTTCATATTAAAAATAGAATTAACAAATCACAAAAATC